ATAGATAGATAGATAGATAGATAGATAGATAGATAGATAGATAGATAGATAGATAGATAGATAGATATTTTAAAACTGGTCATTTCTGGCAAAGCATGTGAAACTTTTACATTTGTTTTTCCCTTTAAATGTTTGCTTTGCTTCCAGTGTGTCTCCATGTTTGTTTGAGTTCCTGTTTAATGTGTCTTTGTAAAACATGACATTATCATTTTGAACTGAATATATCTCTCAGGAACATCTGTAGATCCCTTAGGAACATTGTGATTAGACACTCTAGAATGTCCTGGGGTGGGTTCCATGCATACACTCCAGTGTGAGATAGCGTATCTGAAGCCGTAATCTTTGCTTAGCTTCCACTCCTTTCCAGCACTCTCTGATAATGAATAATTCAGCCTTTCCTAACATCAACCTGAAAGATAAGCCTCTAACAAATGGCCCGTTTTTCTAATGCAATTCATCACACAGGGACCAAGGGGACTGTTAATTGTCACAGATTGTGAACGGACTACCATGTTTAACTTTCTTACAGTGCAGCCTGGTGGAGAGGCAATAGCAGAACAGTCAAAACAGTTAACTGCTACTCCTCTGTCAGCATTATGTACCATGTTTTGAATGGAATAGTGAAAAAGGTAAACCCTTTTTACTGTATTTATTCCACCATGTAGAAAAATGTCCACCCCTAGGCTGTCAATTAAATCACATTGGATGTAGATATTAGATATTCCATCCAATACCAACAAAATGCAGTTGAGTCCACAGATATTTCTGCAAAATGACTCACAAGCTGCAGCTGCAAGCACCTTTGGCTGTGAAGGTGCTTCATAAAAAGCCTTTAAACCTTCTGTGCTGCAGCAGAGAGTCCCAGGAGATAGCAGCCTGACGGGGCCATTTTGATGGTGCTGGGCATGAAAGCAGAAGTTTGTGTATCTGCAAAGAACAGCCGGGCTCCGTGTTCCTGCAATGCCTCTAGCACCTTGCCTAAGCAAATGCTTTTTGAGCAGGAATCAGCAAAGAAAAAAACAACAACAAACTTTGCTCCAAACATTTGGTGTTGCTAAATCTCAAGTAAAACCAAAAGCAGATATTTGAGATTTTGAGGATGCATACTGTAATGTTAAGAAAATGATGTTTGTGCAGTTTAATACCTTGTAACATAGGCTTAGGATGTACTAATGCAACACTTTGGTGGCAGTTTAGTGACTACATTTGTACCACTTCTACTTCCACAAGTTAAAATGTCAAACAGTAGATAAAAACAGGTACATTAAACCCTAGAGGAAGGAAAGACATTTGGCATGGAACTATTTTTAAGTGTTTTAATTATGAGGCCAGATGTTTGACATAAAGGATTGCTGCGAACTCAATGACTCAATGAAAGAGGCCCTTCTCTGTCTCTGCATGCTCATATGGGAGTAAAGGCAGCTTCTTGTTTTTCCAAGGAAAGAAATTTCTAAATATTCATATTTCAATCTGAAAAACTCACTCGGAGAGATAAGACAATTAGAAGAAATTTACTGACACAATTACTCTTTGGCGCTCAGACCTCGGCAGGAAACATAGAGCTTAATTTTTTATCGATATGAATGAACAGGAGTAAGAATAGGGCTGGTTACCCCAGGCCTGAAACTGGTGGTGGAGTGGAGATGGATGAAGTTGGTTAGTCTGTAGACTGCTGGCTAGCGAGACTGTATGCTGAGCTTATGGGGAGATCCAGTAGACTGTGTGGACTAATACTAGAGCTTCACTCAGGGACCTGGAAGATGAAAGTCCAGCTTGGATAACACAGGTTCAAAGAACCTGTCCATGATGAGCAAGCATGAGCGACAGTGGAGAGGAAAAACTCCCCGTTGGGAAGAAACCTCTGGCAGAACCAAGCTCAACATGGCGGACTTCTGCCGGACCGGTTAAGATGAGACACGGAATGCAGTAGGAGTCCGGGAATGATGAAACCCGATGAATCATTAGCTGCAAAGTGGAGAAGGGGCTGGAGGTGGGTTGAAACAGGTCATGCGAATGAAGTCAGGTAGTGAATCCGCCACCTGCGCAGTTAGAAGCAGACCAGCAAATCGGAGGCCTTTAAAGATTTAATTGGACTTGGATGCTGATAGGCTTTGGTGGAGGTGTGGTTCAAAGTTCATTGATTGAGTCACAGGTGATGTAGGAGAGCAATTAGTTTCTTCATTTGAACTTCCACCTAGGCTCAATAAATTGATTGAATGGACTCCGTAAAGTACCCTAAAATGAGCAAACTGCATTGAACTAAAAACATAATGCAGTGTGAAGTTTTACTCAAATGCAAATATTATCACTTTTTTTATTCTCCCATTAACAGCTTTTTGGGAATCTGAACATGACCCAAAATTCTTGACATAATGCACATGCATTAGGGGCCATATTTAGGTATTTATAGTCAGGGTCTCCTCAGCTGCGGTCCTGTCAATAGTCCCACTAACATGTTTGACCTAGTGGATTTTACAATTGCTTTACAGAAATAGTAAAACTCTTTAAGAAGCAACATTCTTTAAGAAATGTCACCCATTTTAGACTAAAGATTTTGACACAGAACTCAAAGTTTTCAGAACTCCTTAAATGAAAAGCATGCAACATCTAAATTTCCTTGAATGTTTGGTGATAGGTCCTTGGAAAAAGAACATGCAATAGATAAAAAGTGACAGCCAAGCCACTGGCAGAGGGGTATTCATATATTTTAATGCCATATGTTTCACTTGACCTTATTGATCGCATCAGCTTCCAGCTGTGTCCCATGACAGATGAGATCTGAGGTTGCTGGAACAGAACTACACTCTGCAATCATCCAGTTTGAACTATAGTCCTCTTTGAAATGCTTCAAAAACAGAAAAAGTCATAACAAACCTCAGACAAAAGATGTGATTTAGGTAAACTTTCTGCTGTTTCATAATAAATGCTAACTGAATGCATCAGATTGTCGTTTTCTGGATTTGTGCCACCCGGTTAATTTGGAAACAGTGAAGTAAGGATCCTTAATTAAATGCAGTGTATTTTATTTTTGTCAGCACTGGATTTTATTTTGAAAACTAGATACAATTTCTAGGTACAATGTCGGCATGTTAATGGCTAATTTAAATGTGGGTACAAAGCAAGGCCTCCTAACAGTTTTTCTTACTGTTGCCATGCTGATTTAAAATATTCCTCTGTTAGTATTCATGTCTTGTGGTCATCCACTTAAGCTTTGTACTTTCTGTTTCATTTTAGCTGGTTAGAAAGAAGAAGGAGAAAGGTGTCTAGCAGAACACACGTATTTGTCTGACTGCTCAAGAAAAGAATTTGACAGGACAGTGAAGTTTCCTTGGGCCCTCTGCTCTCTTTGTTCCCTCTGCCAATGTAATTCTTGCAAGTATCCGTTTCAACACCACTTTCAAGGGAAAGTGATTGCAACTGTAGTTCCAGAACACCCCCCAGACTTCAC